GGGAAAACCGACTTTGAAGTTAGCAAGTGAATTAGATTTGTGCATTTGGGATATTCACAACGCTGTAGTATTGTTGTATGTCGTAAAATTTAAACGGCTTAAAATATATTTAGGAGATCCGCAAGATATCATTAAAGTCATATTATGAATTTTCACACTGTTAAAAAGTAGTTGGTTGTGTTTTCAGGGCTTCGAAACATTTTTTACAATACGACACTTACGAAAGCGTTGTGAATACCCTAATTGGTTTTTTTTGCAATGAAACGAATTTGTGAAAAAAAAACAAATGAAGCTAGAAAGATGAAGTTATTTGCATTGAAAAGGGCTTAGCATCTGGTATAAAAATCGCCAAATTGATTTATTCGATCATTCAACTTACCCTGTTTCATATGTTATGTATTATTTTATTACAATATCTTTATCTAAATTTAAAGTGTGTTTTCAATACCCACAAAAACCAAGTTTATGTACAAAAATACTCAAATAATTTATGAATTTTCTTTAAAACTTTTTTTATTTCAAATGTTTTCCAAAAACGCAAAAATTACGTTTTATTTTTATAACAATACATTTATACATATGTATGTAAAAAAAACTTGTTCTTAATTAACAAATATATTTAAACAGTCGTTAAATTTTTTTTTATTAACTCTAGAAGGCATTTCTTATTTTTTTAAGCCCATGTTCGTTGATCTGATTTGATCTGTTGTGCTTCCGATATATAATAATTTCTTTTATACCTTTTTTAGTTGATTTTTTTTTACATATTTTTACATATATGTTACATGTAAATGGAATAAACAAATAAACTCCTTTTTTATTCAACTTGAGTATAGTGCTATTATGGATCACTAAAAAAGTAACTAAAATCTCTTAATTAGTATTAATAAAACTATAGAACAAAATTACATTATTTGCAACAAGAGGCACACGCGTCACCTCCATGTTCACAACATATGCTTACCACTGCAGTAATTTTCATAAAAACAAAATAATATTTTTCCCCCCTTTGCGCACAGTTCATATTTTTAACGTTTCTCTATACATTTCTGCTGAAGCAGACAAGTAAGACAAAGGCTTCCATTAAAATAGAATTTTCTTCGTCTACATTTGGCAAGGAGTCAAAGAAAAAAAGAAAAACACAACAAAAACTTCAGCGAAAACGAAAACTTTAACGAAAACAAAAGTCTGTTAACTTATTTAAGGACCATCTATGTACATATGTATGTATGTATGTATATCCGCACATTCACACGAACACACATACTTACTTCCTGCATTAAATGAGCAGCAAAAAGAGCATGTGAAAAATTGAGCGTGAGCTTGAACAGGTGGATGTGTGATTTCCTCAAAAATTTCGACATACAGGCATTATCACAAATATCTGCAGACATACAGTATCGGTCATATCTATAGCACGCCATTTCAAAGTGATATTGTGTGCAACTTATGTTTATTTATTTATTTTTGAGAATTTTCAATTAAAATACAGTTCTTTCTCTAACAAACCCCATATAAACCCAAGCTTAACAATTTGTAGAAAACTTCAAAAAAGTGCAACAAATTTTCACCTAAATTTCAAACTTTTTTCTCGGAAGTGTTTGAATTTTTCTGAATACACAGTTTGATAGCCCAATCAATTTTAGTCTGATAATGTGCAAGTGGCTAAAAGTTACCGTTGATTTTTTAGAATTTTTTTCGCCAAAAGTGTTGCGGTTTTCTTCCATATACAAATAAATTGAGTTTATTCATTATATGGACAATGCGACAAAAAAAAATTCTAAAAAATCAACGGTAATTCTTAGCCACTTGAAATTTGCACATTATCAGACTAAAATTGCAGGGGCTAAAAAACTGTGTACTCAAAAAAATTCTAACACTTCCGAGAAAAAAGTTTGAAACTTAGGTGAAAATTTGTTGCCATTTTTTGAAGTTTTCTACAAATTGTTAAACTTGGGTTTTTATGGGGTTTGTTGAGAAATAACTGTATTTTAATTGAAAATTCTATAAATAAAAATAAATAAATAAGCATAAGTGCCAAACAATATCACTTTGAAATGGCGTGCTATAGATATGACCGATACTGTACATACACAAGTATGTACATACATATTTAAGTAAGTACATACTTACTCTGCAAAAATCGTTGGACCATGTGGTCTATTAGTGCTGCATTGGAGTACTTACAAAGTGCTCCTCTGTAATGCTGTAGCAGTCCGTCTCGTGTCTCTATACCAGCTTATTGTTATCCGATCAATGCTTGTGTTTTAACTATCGCAATCCTTACACAATTGATGCTGTTCACACTTGCCTGGTTTTCAGGTTATCTGGTTATGTGGTTATATTTTCATTCAGTTTAAAAAAATAACATTCACTACATAATAATAATTTTTAACCAGCAGATAACCAGATAACCAGGCAAGTGTGACCAGCCCAAATGTTTATTGGGCTGTATAGCCAAGAGTTAGATATTCCATGGAGTAATCCATTGGAGTAGTTTTGTGCTACTCTGATGTGATGCAAAGCTGGAGTATATGGTCCTGCCGTAGGACATCGCAATGTTAAATGGATCAAATTTTTAATAAATATGCAATGCGATTGATTTTCGAGTACTCCTTGATCCTTAGGGAGTACTCTTTACATGCGTCCATGTAGTAATTGCGAGTTTTGCAGGATATCACCGTCTATTTGTGCTTTATAAACTGACTAATTGCTGAAGTCTGCACAATTACGCTTTGCCATGTAGTAGATTTGTTTTTGTTATTCTACAAACTGTCGTACTCATTGTCTCATTGCCTACTCGTAGCAAACAGCACTTCAATGAAAATTTAAGAGCCACTCGAGCACTAAGTACTTCCGTTGGGTGTTTTGCACAAAGGAAACGCCAACACAAACGATACTTTTTGTGGCAACACATGTGCCACAGCCGACTAACACATACATACATATTTGTTGTTTGTGAGTGAGTTAGTATATGCTTGAAATTTAGTGGAAACTCAAAGCACTGCACATTGTAATTTGTTAATTGCCGAAAAATTTTCAGGGCGCCAGAAAATAACGCGGATGCGGTTGGAAAGTGACACTTTGCGGCAAAGGGAAAGTAAGCCGAGCATGCAGCAGCGCATTTAGTGCTCTCAAAGGGGTATTTAGCGTACAGTACAGTTGAAAAAGGCAGCATATTATCACATACTCATGAGCTTTCAATTGCACATTCACTCGAAACTTTTCACCTTTGACATTTTTTTTTTTTTTGCTTTTACATATCTTCGCCTTTGCTTTTTCATTTCTCAGAAAGTCTTAAGTTTTTGCTCATTACATCCGCATTGCAGCTGGGTCACATACAATCGATATTTGTTAGTGTGTGCAATTACGAAATTTTGCATTAAGCTTTTCAACTAAATACGCCATGAATTATGCAGCAATAATTGACATTTCATATACACATATGTACATATACATACATACATTCAGTATGGTGGCAAGTGTGGGCGAAACGATTCAACAGTAACCGCAGGCGGCACAGATAATTGCGCCTCGTTTTCAATGCTCCACTCATTCGCTCTATTAAGCTTTCAATCTTTAAAATGTCATTAAGGATAAATTTTACGCGTAAGTAAGACATTATTAAAATTTTTACGCGAAAATTACAAAATTTTCATAATGGCCTTTTTAACAGATAGGAATTCCTTAGTGGTTGTATTCAGTTTTTCAACCAAAGTCAGTGCTTAGTTATGAAAGCTTTCCAAATTTTAAGTAAGTACATAAATAAATACTTAGGTACATATGTATACAGCAGAGCTTTGCGGAATTTTCTTGCGGTTTCAGGGTTTGTCAAAACTTTTCAAGGTCTTTTGGGAGTTTTGCGTGATTTCGGGGCATATAGAAATTTTGTATCGGATTTTTGAAATGCTACAAAAATTAATTCGCAGCTTTTCCGAACTTATACACTGTTCTGGTTGCTAGAGCTCTTTTGGGGTTACTGGAGATCTTTAAAAATGTTTATATTTTGTTTTGGTTTTGTAACGGTTTTTTTTCGAGACCTCTGAAGATTTTTCGCACTTTTTTCGGTGCCTATGATTAACTTTTCGACGTTTTTTCGGTACTTTACTTGAGACTTATATCGGTACTTTTCGGACTTTTTGCCTTTTTTCGAATCATCAACGGTAGACTTTAATCCGTTGGTGGTTGGTTGGATGGTTGGTTGGTTGGTTGGTTGGAAGAAGTGCCGCCTGTGGTATACCTGTGGTCCTGTGGCTTTGCCTATTCCAGCAAACTCTTAGCTCTTCTAAAATAGCTTCAAAGAACTAAGAGGTCCGAGTTTTCAAATACTTAAGTTTTCTCAATTCCGAATTTAGTCATAGCAGAGGCCTACAATTGGTCAACACTGATTGGTCAACTGATTGGGAGCTTGTCACCTACTTTAATCCGCCTGCGAGGCAGCCTGCTCATCGGCAGAGAGTCGCCTCCATACTAAAATCTCCTAGGAAGCAGTTTTTGAATTCATAGCGAGCAAAAAATTAATTTTCGGAAGTACATAAACCCGTCAACTGTTTAATCCCTATATTACCACTTTTAGCTGTTTTATAGTTTTGGATCCAAAAAGACAGTCGTAGCAGTCAATCGAGATTTTTGTAAAAAGAACTGAATTAAACCTCACAGACAAAAAACTTTACTTTCACCGTTTTGCGAATAACTTTTCAAATCGGTAACCAAATGCTTGTACGTTAAAACGAAAACCCATCCATCATATGTACATATGTATGTGCATGCTCTATCAATATCTCTTTCTTCTACACTCTTTACTTAGAAGAGTACATGTAACTACTCGAGCTTTTTTTAGGCTCTTAAATTTACCTTTACTCTCACAAGCACTCACTAATCCAGTCTATGAGATCAGCAAAACAGCGAAAGTCGTAAACAAATTTTAAAATAGCGAAGATTTCTAATAGAATAGCTGCATTCTTAGCAAACAAATCACGTTAGTTGACATTTAGTTCTTTTCGTGAAAGTGGGTTTAAACGGTCTAAAAAAAATCGTAATTTCTTCCACCAGTAATTCATTTTTTATTAAGTTGTGCTACTAAACTCAAATGGCTTGGCACTTGGCGATAACCATTTCCGGGCTACTCATACCCATCTCGTTGATCTATTCATATTACCGCTACAAATTGAGCTACTTTGAGCGTCGCGGCATACCACATTTGCCACCTGATATCCTACGCCGACAGCGTGATACAATAGAGCTACTGCGCAGCGCCTACAAGCGCTTCAAAGGAAACACGCCTATCGCGGGAATATTTCTACAAACTACACCTGCAGTTATTATACTCGACTTGGAGCTGATAAAACGCGTGTTGATCGATGATTTTTCAAGTTTCGCTGATCGTACGGACAATCAATCCAGCAACAAAGAATTGCTATATGCACTCGAAAACGCTGAATGGCAGACGATGCGACGCAAACTCACGCCTTGCTTCTGGTCAGCTAAGATGAGTGAAATATTTCCAGCAGTAATTAGAGCAGCTAAGAGCTTGGTTAGCAATTCCGAAATAGTTGACCAAAGTGATGATGGAACACTTGATATACAAGGGCTTTGTACACGCTATGCCAGCGATGCTTTCGTCAGCTGTGTTTTTGGTGTTGAGCTCAGCGGCGCAAATGAGTCAACACAGACGTTACGCTTGCGCATACAAGAGCTGGTAGCGCGGGAGTGTCAAACACGATTCACAACTAATTGTATGATGACGCGAGAGCATTGTGCGCGTTGTACACACGCACAAACATCAGAAGTGCCACTTAACTTGAGTGCGCAACTTGTGGGTATGGTGCGAGAAGCGATAAAATTGCAAAGGGAGGGCGAAGTGAAGCAAACCTGCATTCTACGAATACTTTATGAGCTGCTTACGATTGAGGAAGGTGAGTGCACTGCAGCGGCTAGAAAAGATTGCGAGCAACGGGCAGTGCAATTACTCACACGAGCGCTTGCCACTCTCCTCACCGGTTTTGCTAATTCGGCTAAAATATTGATTAACTGCTTGAAAGAACTCGCACGCAACGTGGAAATACAACGACAATTGCGTCAGAATATAGTGAGCGTAATGCACACGTACGAGCATGAGTTCAGCTATGAAGCAATGGGTCATATGCACTATCTCGATCAGGTGGTGGCAGGTGGGTCACTTTGATAGTAAAATGGCTCTTATTTGAAATGGCCTAAATGTTTTCGTTGCAGAAACTTTGCGTAAACACCCCACCACGGAGGTGCTTATTCGTCACGCACTCAGCGACTACCGCATCGCGAACACGCCGCTAACTATTGAGCGCGGCACTTGTGTATTGGTGCCTGTGAAAGACATACACCATGATCCGGCGGTTTATCCAGCGCCAGAACGTTTCGATCCCGCGCGCTTTGATGCCGTGGCAGTGATGGCGCGTCACGCATGCGCATACTTGCCTTACGACGATGGACCACGCAATTGCCTCGGCAAACGTTTGAGCAAAATGTTGATTAAAGTGGCTGTGGTAGCGCTGCTGCGTATTTATCAAATAGAGTGCGGTGAAGGCGTCGAAGACAACGTGGGAATTCAAGATAAAATTCGCCTCAAAATATGCGACATTTAGTTGTCAGAAACGAATTGCTAAATCTTATACGAAGAAAGTTAGTGAGATTACAAGAATTCTAAGTATTTTAATAGAAGAATTAAATTTTTATTTCTTTATAAAAAAAAGTTGTTAGCTTTGCACAAAAAGCTTTTTGTTGTTGATATAAAATTAAGGCATTAATTAAGTTCGTATGATTTCATTGGTTCCTTGTTTGAAATTTAAAATTCAGCAAGCGTCTCAATATTCTTGCAACCTTAACTGTCTACTACTAGTACTAGTGCTCTACTCTGACATGTGTGAATGAAGGGTTTTCTCTTAAACCTTCTCTTTAAACCAGCGCTGGGCAGAGATATCTTTTACTGTGCACGCGACTATAGAAAATGTATAGAAAGCTTAAAAGAGCTTTTCCCGCGAAAAAGCTAATAGTTCACTGTGGACCAGCGGCGACCAGAGAGAGAGCTTTTACCCAGTAAAGCTCTTAAATCTAAAAAAATTAAAAAGGCCTCCAAACCCACCATGTGAGCTTATAATTATAATTTCACAATGGAATTATAGTCTATAGCGGCGAATTCGGGCAAAGAGTGTAAAAACTCGTTCGTAAGACAAATGAAAGAGAGATAGTAATATAGCTCGAAAGAATATTGTTATTCTAGTACAAAAGTCTAAAATTTTCTCATTCGCCGCGCATGGTGAAAAGCTATTTTGAGAGAAAGCACTTATATATCATTCAGCTCGCGTCGCCCCAACAGTCGCAATGGCCGTGTGAGCAAAGCCCTGTTGTGCCTTTAGAACGGTGATAGACACCGCCTTGCCCGTGGGCAAAGCTCTTTTAACCTATCTGTACATTTTGTATAGGCGCGTCCATGCCCATCGCTGCTTTAGAGCTCATTCAAGTTTTCAATACTAAAGTATACAAAACTTGGAAAAGCTTTGCCCGCGTGCAGGCCGGTGCCCACCACCACTTTAGAGAGATTCGGTTTAAAAACCTCGTGCAGCGAGTTTGTTTTTACTATAAGTTTTTCCTTTTTAATTTGGGTTTATTTTAATTATTATGTTTCATTTCCTTAACAAAGAAAGATTTATATTTTTAGTTTCGTTTAATTTTAAAAATCTTATTTAATTTAAGTTTATTTATTTTTTCTTTTTTTAATTCAATATTTTTTTATTTTTATAATTTAATTTCCTCTTGGTTTTCAGTTTTGTTTTCAGTTTTGTTTTATTTTTATTTTATTTATTTTTCAGGATCTTATTTAAAATTTTATTTTTGAATATTTTTTGTATTTTTCCTTTTTTTATTTTCTTTTAACTTTTGTTTTTTACTATTTTCTTCATATTTGATTTAATTGTTTTCCCTTCTTATTTAATTATCCCTGCACTTTTACATTTTATTGTTTTAAAAAGACAAAAAAATATTTTTTTAATTCTATAAAATTTTTAAAAATATTTTTTTAGTTTTTGTTTGAAAAAAAAAAATTTTTTTTAATTTTATTTTATTATAAAAAAAAAACTATTGCTAAAAGGCGAACAACATAAGGCTAAGGCCTCCTCGTAGCTCTTTTAATAAGTCTTTCGAAAGACAATAAAGAGCTTTCAAGATACATACATAGTTGCCAGAGTTGACAATTGTCTTTTAAAAGACTGTATTGAGTTGAAAGACAGTTGCCAGAATTACCCCGTATAACAACACCAAAACTTCTAATCTGCTTAAAATATAGATCAAGGACAGAATTATTTTGAATACGTCGCTGGTCGCTGACTGCCAAGCAAACAAGCGACAAAAAGGACTTTCTCTCTTTTCTTGAAGCTCTCACAACCAGAGGAACAACTAGAAGCCACAAAGTTAATAAGAAGAATGACCGTCTTTTTATAATAATTTTTATTTGGGACGAGAAGTTTCGTTGCGTTCCTCTTCTAACAAGGGCTTGGATGTCATCTCCGATTGCTTATTTTTGTCCTTCTCAAACTTGCCAAAGGTGGCGCCAAGTTTCCGAGACATTAAAATATATCCGCTAAAATATATACATAACAGTGAAATGTTATGCTATCAGCATACAGTGTGCCACTGATAGCTTACTTAACATTACACGCAATGCACTCCATATATGTACATACATACATTAATATTAAGATGTGTTGGTACAAAGAAGTGCTCGACCATTGTTTAAATTACAGTTTACTTAGTGACGCTTACAGAAAACTTGTAAGTGTTAAAAAATTTTTAAAAATTTACGTGCTTCCTAAGCAAAGTAATTCAAATAAATTTGACCGTGTGCAAAGCTGAAAAGTTTTGGTTAAAGCAAGAAAAGGGATTACATTTTTTACTTTGTTATTTCGACGCCATTAACTTTACCTGGGTATACGAAAATATATTTAATATACATATGTACATATGTATGTATGTGTTCCGGCGAAAAGATAAATCTTTAAAAAGCCTATGCCTGTAACCAACAAAATTAATGTTGCCTATTTTTATTGCTTTCAAAATCCATTTTTCAATGCTTCTTATTTATATGAAAATTTCATGTAACTACCGTAGTAAATTTTAACTTCGCCCCATTGCCAGCAGCCAATGCTTCCGTATTGCAATAGAATTGAATTGCCACAGCTAGCAGTGCAAATACAAATATGTATGAACTAATGTATGTATAAATAAGCGCATCAGCCAATAATAAATGCGTCACAGCACCTCAATCTATATATATAAAATTCAAATTATGTATGTACCTATAGACACACTTGGCTCCTAAACGAATAAGCCGATCGTAACCAAATTTTACACACGCACTGGATATCTTCCAGGGATGGTCACAGGGTAAAAAATATTTTGATATATAAAGGGGGCGTGGCCCCAAAACGTGGACCCGGGTAACCTTAGGATGTATTTGTTTAATATGG